GCAACAGGAAATAAACCACCTCATACAATTAGGTGTAGTGGAACCCATACCAACGCAGCAGAGGGGGCAAAGTTTTTACGCATTATTTTCTAACACAGAAAAAGATGGGTGGGTGGAGATGCGTTTTGGATCTAAGGAAACTCAACAGGTTTGTTAGAACACGTTTCAAAATGGTGACACTAACCCTTATAATTCCTGTGTTAGAGAAGGGGGACTGGCTGTTGGGTCTCGACCTGCAAGATGCATTTTTCATATTACCATCCATCCATCCGTCACACAGAAGGTTCACCCTGGGAAAACACTTCCAATACAAAGTGCTACCCTTCCATTTCTTGACTGTCCCAAGAGTTTCTCCAACGTTTTAGCAGTGGAGGCAACACACCGCCGCAGACACGGAGTCAGGATGTTTCCTTATCTGGACAACTGCCTCATAAGGGCACCAACACAACACGAAGCAATAAGTGCCACCCAGAACATAACCCTTTTCATGAACTTAGGGTTACCGATAAACACATCACCACGCTCGTCAACTTAACTTTGACAGTGACGGACAGTCCACAAATATCTGCCAGAACATGTCTCCAAATACTGGGACGTATGGCAGCAACAGGGTTTGTTGTTGAACACGCCAGACTCCACATGAGATGCCTGCAGGCCTGGCTTCGAACAGTCTACATACCACACGGCCACAGCCTAAGCAGATGCCTCATGATGCCAAGGAAGGTAAAGGACTCACTAAAATGAGAGACGTCTGCAGTCATTGGAAAGGTTATGATTTACTGAATGTGATTATCCTGTTTTTATGCATGTATCATTTTGGTATCTGAAGTTAGGAATATTGTCTATGCATCTATTACAAGTGTGTTTACGCCTGGAGGAATGCCCGTTAGGCAGAATGCACTCAGTCTAAGATGGCTGGCTGGGAAAGGCCATTGGGGAGAACAATAGGTCTTAGAAGAAGCTAATCTCCCAGCCTCCAAGTCATGGCTGCTGTGACGCTATAGGGACATGTGACCAAGTCACCTGGTGCTGGACTCCATCTTGGACTACCAGTGTTTTTCCACTGACCGGGCATGGGAACCAAGCTGGGAGACAAAGGGTTCCTGCCATATGCCAAAGCTATTTAAGGCAGGGGAGTAACATCACTGTGATTCTTCACTGACTCCCTGCCCAAAGGAGACTCTTGGAAACACCTGAGGAACAAGGACTGACTGGGGGAGAAGGGTTGGACCCAGACTACAGGCTTCTGGCTGGGGCTGACTATTAGTAAGCGACTAGGACGACCTGACCCTCAGACAGGGCGCAGCAACGAAAGGTCTGACATCTCAATTCAGGCAGACTGCAGGCAAAGGTAAGCCTCTTGGCCTACAGGGGGGAGGCTGCCACCCCCGCTGGGGTTGCAGAGGGTAGGGGGACGCAGAGCCACCTGACTCCACCACGTCCCAGCCCAGGACCCTAAGAGTGGCAGAGTGGTCTGCCACTGGGTCAGTGGGGAGGGTCCATCCAAAACACGCTGACCCATGCTCCAGCAATGAAACCGGACTACAGTCTGGTTTCCCTGGGCTGCTTCCTCCCACAGTCTGGGCGGGGCGGTCTGCAGTCCACAGGTGCTCTGGCTTCTCTGGGTACAGAGCAGTGGGCAGTCCTGGCAACACCTCTCCAGGGTCACTCTCCTCCGGGGGCAGGGTTCTGCTCCAGGGTACTGCAGCAGAGAGGAGACGTCTGTCTCCTTCCCCGGTTCCCATGCCACTGAGCTGCAGAGCCCTCCCTTTATACTTCCTCTCCCACCCTGGTACTTCCGGCGAGGGGGACGGGGTGGGTTCAGCCCCACCCACCCGGGGGCATGTATTGCCCCTCGCTCTCAAGTCCAGTGGGAGGCCAATCCCCTCACTGCACTGCCCCATCAACCTCGGGGGCATTTGGATGGATTTATCCCTTTTCGGAACCAGAATTCAAGGCCCTCCGGGAAGAACTTGAGCATCTGGCAGAAAAACTTTATCCTTCTGTCTACAGCCCCTGCTGGCGCCCTGATTCTGTTTGTCCAAAAAAAAAAAAAAAGAAAGAAAGAAAAGAAAAATTTGGCTCTTTGCATCTTCGTGGCGACTATCAACCCTGAACAACATTACTGGCTCTGATCACGCTGCCCAATAACCACAGACCCGTTAGTAGCGAAGGAATTTGCTCAGGTTTATTGTAGACGAAGCACAGTGTTGGTGCCTTATACTTGCTACAAGCATACTGAATGCACGTATGCCCGTGACAATGGATGCAGCTCAGCCAGTGATGGGAGTTTCCACTGCCCTCGAGGCCAGACAAAGACTCCCTCTGAGGCTCCATCTTATACACCAATACAAACAAGTTATGTGTTGCCCCCTGGCGTGGTCAGTTACCACCCATCACCTTGTACGTGTTGGTTTGATCAAAACATCTCCAACCCTCGCACTGTCATCACAACCTCAGCTTTAGCAGGGTTCAGTGTGTTCTCGTTATAAGTACGGATAAGGTGTCTGCAGTTGTGGACTTGGCAGTGCTGAGAAAAATCCACCACATCCAGAGCTTCCTGGGGTTTGCCAACTTCTACCAGTGGCTCATCAAGGGGTTTTTGAAGCTGGTGACCCCAATTACACAACTGCTCCAGAAGGACACCGCCTTCGTTCGGACCCAGGAAACCCAATCTGCCTTTGATCAGCTGAAAGAAGCACTGACATCAGCACACCTGTTTGTTCACCTGGACCCAGCTAAGCCCTTCCTGGTCAAAGCAGATGCCTCCAGTCATGTGATCAGAGCCGCGATATCACAACTGAGTCCTTGAATCTTCTCCATCCCCTGAAAGTTCTGCTCCTGAAAGTTGACACCTGTGAACAAAATTACAAAGTCTGTGACTAGGAACTGCTGGCCATCAAAGCCATCTTTGAGGAACAGCATCGTCTCGTGGAAGGCGTGTGTTTGCTAGTTCAGGTGTTCACGGATCACAAAAATTTGGGATACTGTGAATGGAAAAGGTTCTCAATCAGTGCCAGATGCACTGGTCCCTTTTTTTTCTCCCAATCTGATTTCACCCTGACTTGACATGCTGGTACCCAAAAGGGCAAGTCGTGAGTCATGCCTGTGTAGCTCTGAGCCCTCCTATGCCTGATGAGTCACTCCTGAGCCAACAATGTGATAAGTCATCAGAGGCCATTACCTCACGGTCTCGTGATATGCCCCATGCTGTTCAGTCGGGGGCCTTCCAACCCCCAAGTGAAGAGCCACCCAGGTGATCTAGGCTCCTGAGGGAAGCAGTCTCTCCAGCCTGCTCAACATCACTATCTGACTGGGACCACACCCATTGCCTCGTTCTGACAGACTGCCCGTGCTCCTCCTGCCAGCCCTTGCTCCTGCGCCCGGTCCTTCCCCGGCCTGTGCCCATTTCCACGCTAGCCAGCCCCTGGTCCAGCCTCCGTCTACTCCAGCCTCAGCCGGCCACCCAGTAGTTCTGATGTCAGTCGTGGAACCAGTCTTATTGGGGAAAGGAGCAGGTGTCGCTCACTCGATCTCCCTTGCACACTCAAACTCCCCTTGCACACACACACAGGAGCAGCCAGAATCAGGTTCCCTGACCCTGTTTCATAGCTCCCCAGGCCTTTGTGCAAGGGTGTCAGATCATTGGGGAGGGGTCCTTCATTTTCTCCCACCCTCAAACCCCATTACGCTCTCTCTACCAGGCTCAGTCCAGGGTTCTCCTCACCAAAAACCCTGGGGTCTGTTCAGCTCCTCACCATGGGTACAGCTCTGCCTGAATGGCTTAGCCTGGTGCTGCCCAAAGGCCCTGCCAGCCAGGTCCTTGGAGGTGCTTTTCGGGTGGGTTTATAAGAAGATGTCATGAAAATCCATATTGATGTGCTGGGGGTGGGAAAATGGATTAAATAAAGCCAGGCAGCCCCCTGGACAGCCCAACAGTGTCCGAAGGGGCCTGGCGCTGTCCCGCGAAGGCGTCGGCTCACAGCTGTGGAGTTACTGTCAGTTTCTGCACTCGGGAGCAATGCATCAGAATCAGTCAGAGCTTCCTGGTCAGGCAGGGAGGGAGGGTCTGGCTTGAACTAGGGAAGGCCAGGAAAACATCCCTCCCTGCACCTGGAAGTGGGGAATCAGTTACGAGTCCTGAGAGCACAAGCAGTAAAACCAGGTGGTTTTTTTCTTGTTGCATAAAGACAATCTCGTCCGTCTCCATATACCCACCCTGCCATTCAGTTAGACCCTGCAACGTCCACACTAGATTCCCTGGGAGCAAGACGACTAATCCAGTTGTGTGTGAACTGCTGGGGGGGGGCTGCGGAGCAGGTGGGGTGGCAGGACATCAGCAGAGCTGTTGATGGGGTGAGCCCATGTCATGAGCCCATCTCTGAGCCTGAGGAGTCAGCCCTCAGACTGGCTCCCTGGCAACCAACCAGGGCTCAGACAATCCACAGGTGCTGGTCTAACCAGGTGACCCCAAGGCCAGGGATACAAGCTCCCAATGAGAGCAGCCCACTCCAGTCTGCTCAAACTTGCTTCCTTGCCAGGAGTATCCCCCACGCTTGGTGGTTCCGACCTGTTCCAACCTCAGCCTGCTCCTGCTCCAGCCTTGTGCCAAGCCTGCTCTTGGGTCCTAATTCCTGCTCTCACTCCTGGATCCAGTCCCTGGCCCAGCCACGAGCCCTGCCCACTGCTGCCTCACTAGGTCTGCCCATCCACTTCCCAGTGTCTGCCAGTCTGAGCAGACTCCCTCCTTTCTGGGCCTGGGTCCAGCAGCTGAGCTGGGGACCCCGGGAATGTGCACCACTGAAATGACCAAGTTGGTCCTTTGGGGTCAAGTTGCCCAGTTGCATCTGGAGAATGCTTCCCTCCACGCTCAGATCCCAGCAGCCACGGTAACCCCACGACAGCTGAATGTAACTGTGGAGTTGAGTTCTCGAACCAGGCCCCCTCTTCTGCCCACATGTATGTTGGCATCTATGAACTGTCATCCTCTGTACCTGCAGGTCTTGCTCCATCTCTGGGTCCCAACTGCACCTGAGGTGAATGTGACGGGTTCCCCCCAGGGTTCCCCCTGGAATGGGGATACCACTGAGCCCCCTGACCCACCAGCCTGGGCTCCCTCTCACACTGCTGCTGTGACAAACTGCAAAGCCCTCCAGCCTCCGTACAGGTAGGCCACACCTAGATGCAGGCTCTGTCCAGCCCCTGCAATGAACCAATGGTGGAAAGGCTACAGCTGAGGCAACTGGTGGAAATGATGGATGGTAGCATGCTGCCCTCTGGTCCAGCTATCCGTGAACTGTGCCCCTCCAGGCCTTGTCTTGCCTGCGTCCCCTTTAGCGCCGTGATTGCCCAGTGCTTGTTTGGCGAGCTCCTGCTTCTGGGGGACTTTAAAACCTGTTGCTGTTCGGTTTTGTGTCTTTTGCTAGTTACTCTTCAAATTCCTCCTTGGCCTGTGTAATTATACAGCGACTGGCCAGAGCTTGGGCGCCTTCCTATTTTCCTCAGCAGGATTCAACTTCCACTTTTTAAAGGGTGCCTTTTCGCCTCTCACCACCTCTTCTACTCTGCTGTTTAGCCAGGGTGGCATTTCTTTTAGTCCTGTTACTGTTTTTTTAATGATTATTTTGCATGTACATTTAGTTTGAGTCTCTGCTACGGCGTTTTAAAATCTTTCCCCTGCAGCTTGCAGGCATTTCACTCTTGCGATGGTTCCCCATTTTTGGGTCGTTTCCCTTTTTGAAGTTGATTTCTTTGGTATTTTCCGCACTACAAGGACGTTACATTTAACTATATCACGGTCAGTATTAATGAGCGCGTCCGCTATATTCATCGCTTGGACCAAATCCAGTGCTTCACGTAGGACTAAATGGCGAATTGATTTCTGCTAGTCCCTTGGCATCAGCAGGCTCTTTCACCACAAGACCAATTTCCTTGCTTTGTGTATCTTTTCAGTCACGAGGAGCTATTTTGTCCCTCTGGTGTCTGACAGCGCTGCTGGAGACTCCTAACACGATTTCAGCAGCATCAGTGCAGGCTGGTGATAGGATAAACTCCCCGCACCTCTTGCGTGAGGCTGCCTTGCTGGTCTAGTGGGTTTTGAAGGCACAGTGCAGGAGGCCTGCCAGGCTGTCTCCGAGGCAGAGGTACTTTACAAAAGCACTTTTCTCTGTTCTGAGGTCAGTTGCCCATCTCTAAAACAACTCCCGCTGTCTCCTGGCATGCGGCTTATGTAACTGGAGCTGGCTGGAGCTCCGGCTTGGTGTCATGCTTTCCTTAGCCAGCGCGGCATCACCTAGCGCACATGCTGGCTCTGGGAACAAACTGCCGGTACCTGTAGATACATAAATTCCAAGGCCAGAAGGGACCATTGTGATCATCTAGTCTGACCCCCTGTTTCACACAGGCCAGAGACCTGCCCACTATAATTCCTAGAGCAGATCTGTTAGAAAACATCCAACCTTGATTTTACAATGGTCAGGGATGGAGAATCCATCCCAACCCTTGGTAAGCTGTTCCAGGGGCTAATTAATCTCACTGTTAAAAATTTACACCTTATTTCTGGCTGTATTTGTCTAGCTTCAACTTCCAGCCATTGGATGGTGTTAGACCTTCCTCTGCTAGACTGAAGAGCTCAGTATCAAATCTTTGTTTCCCAGTGTCACGTTATTGACTTGAACTGGGACCACATAGATCATTGTTGCAACCAAGGTCCTGTAGTGGCACCAAATCTTATATAAAGGGGGTCAAATAAGGTGTCTAAGACGAGGTTATGGTTTGCTGGTTAGGATCATGCTGTCTATATGTGGGTATCATTTTTATAGTTGAAGTTATGAATATTGGCTCTATACTGTCTATAGTTCAAACTTATGCTCTGCTTCTGGGTGACACCCCAGGCAAGTTGGTGTCAGCTCTGCCTAGCCTGCTTGATGGCTCATTAAGGACCATCAGCTACACAACTGACCCACTGAGAGAAGGCAGACACGCCTTGGGACTCAGCAAGGTGTGCAGGGACCTGCCTATGGAGAGAACTCTGAGGTGTTTCCAGGCCATGGGATGGGCAGCTTGTCTTTGGAACAAAGAAAGCAGAGACCACATGGCAAGAGACTATACAAAGCTGCTGCAGCTCCTCCATCTTGTCTTCAGTCCTGCTTCTGACCTCTGGAGGGACTTTGCTACACTGAAGCTTTGAACCAAGCACTGAACGACCCATCCCAGCTGGGGATGTTCTCCAGAGACTTGATTTGAACCTGCCATTTACTGCATCACTGCTACAAGCCTGAACCAAGAACTTGGCCATGACTGTATGTCATTGATTCCATGTAACCAATCCTAGCTCTCATCTTTATCTTTTTCCTTTTATGAATAAACCTTTAGATTTTAGGTTCTAAAGGCAAGGGGGCTTTGCAGTGGCTTCCAGATGAAAGTGGTTGGGGTTCAGTGGGGGTCTGGGTGCAATTAGTTGGGGGTCAGTGGCCTGGGGGTCTGGATATGGGGGCTCAGGCTCGTCAGGGTGGGGGTTTGAGGGCAGAGAGCTCAGTGGAGGGTGGTCTGGGTGCAGTGGAGGGAGTCCAGGGGGCTGGGAGTCTGGGTGCAGGAGAGCTCTAGATGCACAGGTTGAGGGTCAGTGGGGTGGGGTTTGGCTATGGAGGGCTAGGAGGGTTATGGGTGAGGGTCAGGCTCGGCAGTGGTGTCTGGGTATGGGAGGTCCAGATGCACAGGGGTTGAGTGGATGGGTGAGCAGCTTCCCATACAATGATCCCCCCCCCACCCTCCTCCCCCTCCACAGCTGAGCAGTGATTGGGGCAGGAAGCAGGGGAGGATGCTGAGCTTCCTGCAGCTGGGGGAGGTTTCTGGAGGTGGGTCTGACATAGCCCAGCCACTCCATGCAGGGGAAGAGGAAGTTTTGTCCTCTCCTGCCTCCAGCCCAGCCAGGACTAGCAGCTGATCCTAGCTCAGAGTAGGAGCCACTGGCTGGGGTGTCCCCAGCCCTGCAGGGATTTACCTCTTCGCCGGCTGCTCTGCGCGCCTGAAACAATGAACCTGCACAGCTAGGGAGTGCTGCGTGGCTGCTCTTACAGCTTCTCTTTGCTTCCCTATCAGAAAGTCATTTTTCTATGGGGAAACAAAGCAATCTGCAGGGGGGATAAATTCTGCGCATGCGCAGTGGCACAGAATTCCCCCACGAGTAGATAATCATTATATAAACCCAGAGTACTCCCACACCTTGAATACTGCATGCAGTTCTGGTCACCCCATCTCAAAAAAATATATTAAACCCAGAAAAAGGTCAGAGAAGGGCAACAAAAATGATTAGGGGTTTAGAACAGCTTTCATAGGAAGAGAGATTAATAAGACTGGGACTGTTCACCTTAGAAAAGAGACGACTAAGGGAAGATATGATAGAGGTCTATAAAATCATGACTGGTGTGGAAAAGGTGAATAGGGAAATGTTATTTACCCTTGCCTACAGTACAGAAACCAGGAGTAACATGATGAAATCAATAGGCTGCAGGTTTAATATAAACAAGAGGAAGTACTTTTCCACACAATGCACAATTAACCCATGAAACCCCTTTGCATGGTGGGATGCTGTGAAAGCCAAAAGTATAAGTGGGTGCAAAAAAATACTGGATAAGTTCTTGGAGGACAAGTCCATCAATGGCTGTTAGCCAAGATAGGGATGCAACCCCGTGCTCAGAGTAACCCTAAATCTCTGATTGCGAGACTCCGGCAGGGGTCGATCACTCCAACTGCCCAGTTCTGTACACTCCCCCTGAAGCTGTAGCGCTGGGCATCGTGGGAGACAGGACACCAGACGAGCGTGGCAGTTCTGATCTTCATATGGTTTTACTGGGGCATTGTAAGTGGCTAGTTTTGAAAATTTAGCTGGTGTGCACCCAGCCCAACCGGTTCGGGGCTCTAATCCAATTGTACGGAAATTAATGGGAGTTTTGCAATCAGCACCAATGGGGGTGGGTTCAAGCCAGCGAAGAGTAACTCTTAGTTGTGTATAGCCAGAGAGCCACAAGGCAGACTTCAGCCCAAGATGGCTGGCTTGTATTTTCAGACCAAAGTTAGAGGATTTCTGGAGCAATCGGATGTCTGCCTCAGAATGAGGAATCTCAGTCCTGCAGTAGAAGAGGGACAAAACGCTACTTGTATTTCCTTATGAGGAAGGACTCAGATGGGAGTCGTTACATCTGCAATGCCCCGTCCTTCCTGGACCGGGCTGGAGAAGCATCAGTAGCTCCGTGAAGGTACAGAGCGCTTCTGCTGACTCACCCGGCAGCTGGACACGTGGGTCTCATTATCTCCATTGATCAGGCTCTGACAGCGTGTCAGGGTGAATCTCTCTTGAAGTTCGTTGGGCAACACTGGTGCAGGGAGGTGAAAAGTACGTTTCACTCTTCCAGTTTCAGTGAACTGAGTCCCCCAAATTGTACAGAACTGATGGGGCTTTCTCTAAGACTACAAGCTTTCCATGTGGGCGGGTCATGTGGATTAGCACTGCATTCTGCTCCGGTTTTCTCAGTCGTCTAGTGCAAAGGCAGCACCGTTGGAAAATCCAAGCCACGCCAGTCATCGGACCATTTTTTAGATTGTGAAACCGAACTGTTTTAAAAGATCCTTTACCGCTCTCTGCATTAATTAGCTAATGCAGCCGTGTCAAAATCGGAGGAGAGACAAAGCACAGGGTGTTGCAAGGACCAATTACTGTTTGTTCAAATAAGCTGCAAATCAACAGTGCTGTATATTGGTCATTCTTATATGCTGGAAAATAAGTACTGCCAGAATCCTTTTGCTGAGAGCCAGAATCAAGAGCAAACTGTCTTTGTCACCAAATAAGCAGATTAGTCCATCCCCCGTCCTCCCCCCAACTATCAACCATAACAGCTGACTCAACAAAACTGTTATTGAGACTAAATCAAACACACAAAAAGCCCCCAGGGAAACAAAAGCTCAGGAGACAGGGGGTGCTGACAAGCACCCAGCTATGCGCTCACAGAGCACATGACCCCCACCCCCCACTCCCGCTAACCCTGCAAGCGAATGAAGACATATCAACCCCCTCCTGATAAGCCCAATACATGTCAAACCAGAATGTAAATACCAGCTGAGAACAGAGAGGCCCAGAAGGGTTCTTACACAATACTCAGGTTTGGGGTG